CACAGTCTGATGACTTCTCTCCTGCTCTGTGAGTAGCTCCTTCTACCTGTCCTCTGGTCACTGGGTTTGCTCCTGTTGCTTGGCCAGTTTCAGTAAGAAAACCCGCACCTGGGCCTACAAATTACAGAGCAGTTCAATAGCCCTCTCAGAGCTCTTGTCACACCCCTCTCTTGGGACCACCGGAAATGCTGAATCACATTTAGCTTCTGACTTGACTCCCCTGGCCGAGAGAGCCGGCTGTCCACTAGAGCTGCTGGTTGGATCATTTTCCAAGGGAGTCAGTTCAGGTTCTTGGGGGAAGCTGCTCAAATGCCCCCAATTCCCAAGCTTTGAATCTGGGAGTGAGGCTAAGGTATCCCTGGTAAGCAGAGGGACGTCTGAAACCCACGGCCGGCCTCTCCCTCTGAAGCTTATACCCCAGTACCTGGTTTCTTAGCAACCCATTTTACCCAGTACTAGAAACTCTTCCTGCCCCATAGCGACATCCCCTCTGCACAAAGTCCAAAGTTCTTGTAGGGCACCATCTTTTTACGTGTCCCTTTTCCGTGCAGTCAAAACAAATTAACCCTGGGGGCGGGGTCACTTTTCCCAGCCCAAAATGGGGTGCCCACAGTCCTGGGCCTGCCCTCCCCATGGCAGGGTGTCTTTAATAACCTGGGACTCCCCTGTTCCCCAAGTGTTCTGGGAAACCAGGCCAGTCTGCCCATCCTAGCTTCTGGAGGCAGCCCCATCTTATGTGCCCGTCCTGCCCACAGTCTGCACAGCATTGGACCAGCCCTGTGTGCGGTGGGTCAGGGTGACACTTTCGAGTCACTGGCCCTCCTCAGTGTGTCACTGTTGGTGCCTGGGCACTTCCAGCAATGGGAGCTGGAACACCCATGGCTGTTGCTGGCCCTCCAGACACCAGCTTTGGAGAGTGAATGTCCGACCGACATGGAAGGTGTCTGTGCCATGCTGCTCTGTCAGCCGTCCTGGGCGAGTCTCAGAGCCGGGGTGACAGATTTTGGCTCATGCAGTTTGTGCTACAGCATTAAACACAGCTGTGTAGATGTTGTGTGTGGGGCTGGAGCTTGAGTTTGAAGCCCCCCCTGCTCCCTGGGCTTAAGGGCCCGAAATTCAGACTGAGCCAGAAGGTCTGTATGGCTCTTTTTAGCGCCATAGCAGGAGCCCCACAAACCTCAGTCTGTGGACTGAGCTCCGGGACTCGCTGCCGCGGGCTGTGTAGATGAACCCAAAGTGTCTCCAGAGTCTGGGTGTGAAAGTTCCCAGCATGTCTGGCCCAGGACTGATTAATGAGAGCGAGGGGGGTGGCTGGCACAGTTGTTAGATGGAGACACCTGAGACCCTGGGGCTGTGAGACGGTCTCTGTGACCATTATCCGCTCTGGGAGACACCCAGGTGCAGCTGCAGAGGGTCTGTGCCACTGGCAGAGTCCATGGGACAAATCTCTCTGGGCAGAGAGTTCAGGCTGGAGCCGAGTCTCCATTTTCAGCCTGATGTGGGGGTGAGATCAGGGTCTGGAGGGAGGAATTTTTCTATCAAGGGCAAATTTAACAGCAGCTCTGGAATGTTTCATAGCTGATGCCCTGAGCATGGCCTGCCTGTAAGTGTGTGTTGCTGGGGATGTTGACAGGCACTCATTGCAAGTCTCTGGAGTTTGGACTCCTAAGTTGCTCAGACAGGTTTGAAGTGGGGCTGGGAGAAATGTTTTGGAGAAATAGTTTATATTTTTGGTTCGATTGAAACTATTCCTGAATCCATGTTGAGTTTGCTGACTAGTTTCAATGAACAGAAAAAGGTGCCCCCTGTGTGATGTGGGGTGAGAATTGGAATGTGGGTCTCCTCCCCTCAGGTGAGGGCTGGACCCGCTGGGCTCCAAGTGTCTGACGCGGGGCTCCCTCAATCTCTCCTGCTGAAGACGCCCCCTGTGTCTAAACACTGCCATGGGCCTGGGCCAGAGCATGGAGGTGAGAATGACTCTGCAGCCCAGTGGATCGGGCCATATCTTGGAGCCCAGAGTCCAGCTCCCCTGCGCCAGTGACCCTATAATTACTGACCCATAACTTCAATGAGGGGAGAGGTTATGGCCCCTGGCACAACAGTGTCTCAGGCCGTGTCTGCCGGGGTTTTCTTGCGCCGATGTAGCTGCCCCGGTGCAAACTCCTAGTGCAGATGCACTGCGCAGGTATGGGCTGGGACTGGCACCCGATGCAACTTCTCCCAGATGGAGGGGGCAGGAAGTGAGGAAATCCCCCCTCCAAAGCAACAGAGATTCCCTGGGGTCTGCCCCATCCCTCATATGCCTCTGCCTCCCAGGTGCCTGCGACTCCACAGTACCACTTGGCCCTTGCCTCTAGTCATCCATAACCCCAGTGAGGGGAGGGGTTATGGCAGGCGATGGCCACTGACATAACCCAGCCAGTCTCCTCTGACTTTAGCACAGGCAGGAAGGGGTTAAGCCCTAAGGATGCTTTGTGCACCAGGGAACCTGATTTCAGGGGCTTCAGCGAACCAGGCCAGAGAGGTGGCTCAGCAGGGAGGGTGCCTAGGGGATGGAGTAGCTCCGCACTCCCTGGGGGCGGGACCCTACCCCAGGGGCTGCTGTGGACCCTGCAGGTTTGGGGCGTGAACCAGCTGGAAATCACACCCCCTCTCCCACTCCAGAGCTCAGCTGAGGAGAGGAGAATCTTCCTTGTGCCAGCGCTGGGGGGGGGGGGGAGGAGGTTGGCACATGCAGAGCTCGGCTCCCCTTGGCCAGTGCCCTGGGCCGGAGGGTCTTGGGCTTTCCCAGAGTGCTGGCCCAGCCAGAGGCAGTGGGGGAAGGAAAGAGCCTGCTGGTGATGCCGCTGCTGAGCTGCTGAGCACTTGGATCAGAGGCTGGTTCTTCACACAGTACTGGGAGCAGGATTGCCCTGCTAGGGGGCAGCAGATATGGAGGAGCAGTGGGCATAGGTGCCAACTTTCTCGGGAAAGGGCAGGGGGGGTGGGGGTGGGAAGGTGTCATTGGGGTTGGAGAGAAGGGGACAGGCTGATGCTGGGAGAGGAAAGGGGAGGGGCAGGTGACAGGAACAGAAGGGGGAGGGGGAAGAAGGGAGGGGCAGGCACAAGGGCAATGGGGGGGCAAGAGGCGTGGACACCAGGAGGTGGAAGGGATGAGGGGTAGGGCAGGTGCCAGGACCATGGGTGGGAGGGAGCAATTGGGACAAGGACCTGGGGATTACAGTGGACGAGAAGCTGGATATGAGTCAACAGTGTGCCCTCGTTGCCAAGAAGGCCAATGGCATATTGGGCTGTATTAGTAGGAGCATTGCCAGCAGATTGAGGGAAGTGATTATTCCTCTCTATTCGGCACTGGTGAGGCCACACCTGGAGTATTGCATCCAGTTTTGGTCCCCCCACTACAGAAGGGATGTGGACAAATTGGAAAGAATCCATCAGAGGGCGACGAAAATGATTAGGGGGTTGGGGCACATGACTTACGAGGAGACGCTGAGGGAACTGGGGTTATTTACTCTGCAGAAGAGAAGAGTGAGGGGGGATTTGATAGCAGCCTTTAATTACCTGAAGGGGGGTTCCAAAGAGGATGGAGCTCAGCTGTTCTCAGTGATGACAGATGACAGAACAAGAAGCAATAGTCTCAAGTTGCTGTGGGGGAGGTCTAGGTTGGATATTAGGAAACACTATTTCACTAGGAGGGTGGTGAAGCACTGGAATGGGTTACCTAGGGAGGCGCTGGAATCTCCATCCTTAGAGGTTTTTAAGGCCTGGATTGACAAAGCCCTGGCTGGGATGATTTAGTTGGTGTTGGTCCTGCTTTGAGCGGGGGATTGGCCTAGCTGACCTCCTGAGGTCTCTTCCAACCCATATCTTCTATGATTCTATGGCACAGAGTGAGGCAGGAGCCTGGGGGCAAAGGGGCTGGCTGGGGCAGGGGCAGTCACCAGTGCGTGGAGGAAGGTGAGAGGAGGGGCAGGTGCCAGGGGGAAGAATGGGATGATGGGAGGGGTGCACACTGGGGGGAGGGGGTTAAGAGGGAAAAGGAGGGGCAGGCATCAGGGCCATAGACTATGCATGAGGGGCAGGACTGGAGATGAGGAGAGGGGTGGGCTCGAGGGGCAAAAGGGGGGCAGGAGAAGGGACGGGCACTGGGGCTCAGAGAGGGGGAGAGGGAAGGGGCTCGCACTAGGGGACACAAGGAGTGAACAGAGGTGCAGGCACTGGGAAGGCAGAGGGTGGGTAGGAGGGGCTGGCACCAGGGGAAAGGAGGGGGCGGGGGAAGGTGCAGGTGACAAGGGGAGAAAGAGGAGTGAGGGGTAGGGTGGGTGCCAGAGGGCCATGGGGGGTGAGGGGTGGGGCAGACCCCAGGGGGCAATAGGGGAGCAAAGGAAAGGGACAGTCATAAAAGTGGAGAAGGGCATGAGGGGAGGGTGCCAGGAAGTCAGAGGGGGGCAAGGGAAGGGGTAGGTACCAGGAGGGATATGGGGACTGAGCAGGGGGGCAGATGCAAGGAGAGGAGAGCGGATGGGCACCAGGGGCAGAGTGGGGACAAGGGAACAGGTGAGCACACGGGGGCAGAGAGAGGGGTGTGGAGATGTGGGCACCAGGGGGGCAGAGGGAGGATGAGGGGAGGGGTGAGCACCAGTAGGGCAGATATGGGGTGAGGGAAAGGGCTTACACCAGTGGTCCAAAGAGAGGAAGGGAAGGGCAGGCACCATGGAGGCAGATGGGGGCAATGGTAGAGATGTGACTCAGGGGGGCAGAGGAAGAGTGAAGGGAGGGGCTGGCATCAGGGCACTAGAGGGGGGTGAGGGGTGCTGGTGTCAGGGGGGCAGAGAGTGAGGGGAGTGGCAGGGTGCAGAACTAAGGAGAAAGTGCCAGGAGGAGGGGGTGCGAGGGAAGGGGCAGGCACCGTGGGGAGTGACGGGGATGCAGGTTAATGTCCCTTTGATGCCAGTGACCAGCCCCTGCCCCCGGCACTGACTTTGTGACTCTCTCCCTAGTGGACGTGACTCTGGATCCAGATACGGCTCATCCCAACCTCGTCCTGTCTGAGGATCGGAAACATGTGAGCCACGGAGCCTGGGATCTGTCCAACAAGTCTGAGGGATTTGAGCATGATATCTGGGTCCTAGGCGCTGAGGGATTCACGGGCGGGAGGCGTTACTGGGAGGTGGAGGTGGAAGGCAAGATAGGCTGGTACCTGGGGGTTTGTAGGGAATCTGTGAGCAGGAAGGGGAAGGTCACACTCACACCTGAGGATGGATACTGGGTTGTGTGGCTGAAGGGTGAGGTATACCAGGCCCTCACCTCCCCCTCGACCTCCCTCCCCGTGAGCATCAGGCCCAGCCGGGTGGGGATTTTCCTGGACTATGAGGCAGGCGAGGTCTCATTTTACAATGTGACTGACAGGTCCCGTCTCTTCACTTTCACTGACACCTTCTCTGGGACGCTCCGCCCTTATTTCAGTCCTGGTTACTATGTTTGGGGTACAAACGCGGATCCCCTGAAAATCCGCCCGGTCCCAGCTCAGGCCGGAGGGAATCTCTCTCCCTGACAGTGACCCCTGTGACCCCAGACTGGCCCCTCCCAGCACTGCTGCTCTTCCCGCCCCCAGTGGTGGGGGCCAGTTACTGCAGCAACTGGACTTTTTGTGCTGACCGGACGGTGCTAGTTTCCCTTTTCAAAAGGAGGTTCCAATCAAGAACCAGACACCTGGCAACCCCAGCCCAGGCTGGGTGAATGGGTCCCACTTGCTGAAAGGAGCCAGACAGATTTCCCCCTCTCCCCCTGTGTTTGCTCCATCCCTGGCACAGGGTGATGCTGGTAAGAAATACTGCCACACAGCTAGTGGTTTTTGCTGCCCTCACCTTTCCCCGTCCCCTGTCCCAGGAGTAGCAGATGGTGACGGACGGGGATCATTCACTCCTGTCAGAATTTTCTACCCCTGTGAAATCTCAATGTAAAATATGAAAGAAAAAAGATTATTCTAATTTAGAAAATATTATTGTCACAAGGTGTAAATGCAAGAACATTTTCATTTACATTTCAACAGCATTTCAAAAACAAGCATCTAAACATATTTTTAGAAATGGAATTATTTACATTTATTTTTAATTCTTCCCTCATAGCTATATTGATGTTTAACTTCTCTAAATAGTATAATTTGTATTTCAGCTGTGGAATTTCAAGAAATCCAAAATATTTATCTTAACAAAAAAAATTATTCAATTGTCAGACTGGGTTGCTCAGTTACTACGTACATGTGTTATAAACATCACAACTACACACATGTGCAGCTGCTCTCGCTCTCTTTGCCTCCATTTATTGTTTTGACTGGTTCTCTCTGGAAGGCCAGGCACATACACCCACCCCCTGCACAACACCTTTGACAATTAATTGGTGAAAAAATGATAGAATTAATTAAGCAATATATTTAAATTAACTCACACAAGATTATAAAATAGTCTTTGAATTTCTGTCAACATTAATTCATGTGAATTTTAACTTTCTAGCTTCATATAATCGGTAATCAAGATATGACACTGCTTTGAGCAGGGGGTTGGACTAGATGACCTCCTGAGGTCCCTTCCAACCCTGATATTCTATGATTCTATGACACTTCCTTTCTTGTTCTCACATCAATTAAGAAAACACGGTTCCGAACCTCAAATGCTATCTTCCTATAGATATAAATCTCTTCTACAATATCCTTTTCTTAGTTTATTTTTCTTTAGAAATATTATTTGCAGGCAAGGTACTGTCAGTGTCCACTGTTGATTTCAATGTACTGCTGGGCTCTTCATGTTCTTGGTTCTAAGGATGAAACAAATGTAGTTTGGTAAAGAAACAAACGAGGTTGTATTCCTTTACTGAATCATCATAAATTAAGTTAATTGTATTAGAGACGTTGGCACTTGATGACACATAACTTGAAATTTGGTGATGCTTTATTAGGAAACCTTTCTTCTTGGCCATAAATCAGTCGAAAGGGTGATATTTTGTTGTCATGTGAGGTTTAGAGTACAAAGAAAATAAAGTTGCTCCAGGAAATTCATTTCAGTTCCTCTGGGTTCTGTCCACCACCTTCAGGAATGCTCTGTAAAAATAGTGACTGATTGGTCTAATTCCTTCAAATTAGCCATTGAACCTAATTTCTTGAAGAGCTAGCTGAGCAGAGTACGAGGGGAGGCATATTGCATGGCATTGCTAGGACAACTTTTTGTTTTAAAGGTGATGCGTTATGAACATTTTCAATGTAATAATTCAGTTTTGAAGCTTTATTTACAATATACCATTCATGTCAGAGTGCCCTAAACGTACCTTGATTATTTGAAAATAAATTCCCTAAAATTATCTTTTGATGGATTCATTTGTGTTTTTATCCAGTCAGCTGGTGTCTAGGTGGCATGCGCTGCTGAAGCTATGTTTTTTCCTAGTTTTTAACACAGGGAAATGTTAATCTAAAAATAGATAATTTTTCCTTAAAATTTCCTACAGAAATATCTGTGTTCCGTTCCCTATTTCTCACTGAATTATGTGTAATTATTGTGGCTTCTTATCCAATCTCATTGTGTTATTACATGGGAAAATATGTTGGCAAATAGTAAAAACCATGTTGTATATTAACCTATCTGACAAGACATAAAAATGTGTTGTCACTCACAATTTACAGCATGAAATGTCATGAAGAGATTGCAGGCAATGTTCATTTTTAAATGTCTAACTATGAATGGGCTCCCCCATCAGTTCCAGCAACCCCCGGCTGGCAGACCTCTGTGTGAATTAAGCAGCAGGCAGTCTGCTGGGGAACCTCCACCAAGTGTCTTTATTACCTTTCATGGTGCATCACAGAATAGCAGCAGTTACAAGGAGCCCCCTTCCTGCTCCCTGGTTCAGCCTTTTATACTGCTGCTTTCTTCTCAGCACTGAGCTAGTGAACTCATCAGGCTCCCTACAGGTGCAAGTGATCCCCTCTATCCTTCTGTAACAAGGGTTGCTCTCGTGGGACACTACTGAGAGTACCAATTCAGGGCAATTTGCTGAGAAACAGGACAGTCACAACCTCAGGCTGGTGGTTCTCCACCTCTAAGGCACACCAAACCAGCCAAACTGAGAGGACTTTGGTTTCACCACACTGGCTAACTAGAAGTCATACAAGCAATTCCCTCAGGTACCCCAGTTCCCTTGTACCACCAGTAGCACTCCTTATAGGGATGACTGATTATGAAAACCAGTGTCCCCAATTAAAGGTTCTCCTGATCCCAAAGAACCAGCCACAAAACCCAGGTCCATATACAAATCAGATCTTACCCCAAAATCATGATTTTGCCAATCATTTAGGATCTAAAATCTAACGGTTTATTCATAAAAAGGAAGAAATATAGATGAGTTAAAATCAGTTAAAGGAATCAAATACATACAACAATTGAAAAGTTCCTGGTTCAGGCTTATAGCAGTGATGGAATAAACTGCTTCCTCAAATCAAGTCTCTGGAGTACACCCACAGATTTGGATGGGTCCTTCAGTCCTTTGTTTAGAGCTTCAGTTTGTAGCAAAGTTCCTCCAGAGATCAGAAGCAGGTTTGAAGGCAAAATGGAGGGGCTTCCAGGGCCTTTTTATATCCTCTACCATGTGGAAGATCCCCATTGTTCTTACTGTGGAAAATCACAGCAGACGATGAAGTTTGGAGTCACCTGGGCAAGTCACATGTCCATGCATGATTCAGTTCTTTGCAGGTGGCAGTCATTGCTCACATGCTACTTTGAACATTCCCAGGAAGGCTCATCAGATGTGGATTGGAGTCTCACAGGGTCCACTGTCAGTTAAGTGTTTCTTGATGGGGCACTTAATCTGAATAGTCCCTTTTCAATGAGCTAGCCAAATGCTTCACTGGTGCAACTTAGAATCAAACACATTGAAATACAGATACATAGCCAATACTCATAACTTCAAATACATATATTCTACACACACACAAGTAGTTTAATCACAATCAGCAAACTACAACCTTTTCATAGATATCTTTCTTGACCATCTTTGTACATTTGTTGCAACTATATGACAGTGGTTGCAATAATGATGTATATGGCCATAGTTCATTTAGATAACGTCACACCTTCCAAACCCAAACTACTCAGTGCCTTCTCCTGTAACTGCACCCAGTGCCCTGGGTGTGCTCAGTGCTCAGGGTGCTGGCTTCCAAAGGGCTCAGTTTGTAGCTGCTAACAGCCCCTTGTCACATGGCCATGATTGTGTAATTGACCATCTGGAGAAAATAACACCAACTGTAAACTTTTACCTCATTATTCAATTCAGAACCCTTTCCACACCACTATCTCCTGTCTTCATGTCGCTGCGTACTTATCATATGTGATAGTGTTCTTGGCCAAAGAGGCCATCACTACCATTGCTACGTCCCTAGGCAGACAGGTGCCTGACTGCTGGCATGCATTGTATTCATAGCTGCAGGATCATTGCATGGGAAGTGGAGAGGACCTGGGCAGACAAATAACTGCTCTGAAGCTGCCTGGCAGCTGTCTCCCTGCTCCCCAGCAGCAATGGGGGCTTCCTGCAGTCAGGGAAGGTATTTGAGGTTCCCCAACCCCTGCTACTCCTCTGCTCTGCCGTCCAGGAAAGACCAGGTCTCTCTGCAGCTGAAGTTCCCACTTGCCACATTTCACATCACCATTTCATACATGTCCTGGATCCCTAGAGCTTGAGCCCTCTTTGCCAACCCATCGCATGGCTCCCAGTCCTCTCTGTGTAGTCTTCACAAACCCAATAGCTATTTCCCCTGTGTGACAGCCAGTCAGTGGGGCAGAGTCTGCACCTGGAGTCCCCTGGATGGTGAGACAGGAAAGGATTTGCCATTTGGTTTGTCCAGAAGAGTTTTGGGGCCTGTTTTAACTCAAGTTCAGTAACTGTGAATCAATACATTAATCGCCACAACTGTAAATGCTGGGGCTTGGCCACATAGGTGTTTGCACCTGTTTAACTAAAAGTATCTTTTTAAACCAATTTGATTAACCGCCCACTAGCACCGAGGCAGTTATATCTGTACAAAGGTGTTTATATCAGTACAGCTGTTCCCTTATGTGGAGATAAATAAGCTCTACCAGGAGGAGTGGCTTTTATACTGGAATTGATGCAGCCGCACTATGGGCTGTGGGGCTAGAATTGTTTAGGTAGAAAGTCACTCCTTTGACCAAAAAAATGGTTACACTGGGACAAACAGTGTGTGCAGTCCAGGCCTAAGAGGAGCTTCTATAGATTTAGCTTAAGTAGATTTCTCACTGGCTTAAGCTAAACCAAAATAAGCCACCATGGATCAATATAAGTGTGTCCTCATTGGGGTTTACACTGGTTTAATTAAACTGGTGCAACTTGGAATCTAGGCAAGGCCTCAGGCCTTGTCCACATCAGAATGTTGCACCAGTTTCAGTGAAATTATTTTTTAAACCAATTTAGTTAAACCAAAGCAAACCCGTTGTGACGGGTTTGGTCACAGAGACCCCGCTCGAGACTGTCACTCAATGTGCTGGGATACCACTGAGA